TTTTCTATAGTTTTGCCTTTTCCATAATGTAATAGAGATGAAATCACACAGTATGTACTTAATTTTTTTGTCATGGCTTCCTAGCATAATGCATTTGAGATTCACGGATGCTGTGGCAGGTTTAGGGAGTTCATTTATATTGCTGACTAGTAGTCTGTTGTGTGAATGGAACCACGGTGTGTTTATCCATTCCTGGGCTGAAGGACAGTTGGGTTATTTCTGAAAAGTTTTGGGCAATTATTAATAAAGCTGTTATACATAGGGGCGCCTGGGTGGCTCAGTGGGTTAAACGTCTGACTTTTGATCTCGGCTCAGGTCTTGATCTCAGGGTCTTTTTTTTTTTTTTTAATTTTTTTTATTGATCTCAGGGTCTTGAATTCAAGGTCTGTGTTGGGCTCCACACTGGGTGTGGAGCCTACTTAAAAAAACAAAACAAAAAAAGGGCACCTGGGTGGCTCATCCGGTTGAGCACTGGACTCTTGATTTTGGCTCAGGTCATGATCTCGGGGTCATGGGATCAAGTGTTGCATAGGGTTCCATGCTCAGCAGGGAGTCTGCTTGGGATTCTCTCTCTCCCTCTGCCCCCCCCATGCTTGCTTTCTCTCTCTCAAATAAATAAAATAAATCTTTAAAAAGAGAGAGAAAGTAAAGCTGTTGTAAATACTCATGTGTAGATTTCTGTGTGTTTGCAAGTTTTCATTTCTCTGGGACAAATAAGAGTGAGATGGCTGAGTCTCATGGCAAATGTTTTTTTAATTTCTAAAATATGTCAGACTGTTTTCTAAAGGGGCTGAACCAATATGCATTCCTACCAGCAAAGTAAAAATGTTCCAATTGCTTTCCACATCCTCACCAGCACTTGACTTTGCTGATTTTTTTTTTTGTTTTTTGTCTTTTTTGGTTTTGACTTTTTAAAAAAAATTTTAAAGATTTATTTCTTTATTTGAGAGAGATAGAGAGAGAGAGTTAGGGGAGGGGCAGAGGCAGAGACTCTTCAAGCAGACTCCCCGCTGAGTCTCTCTCCTTACTGGAGAGGTGGTATACTCTCTGAAACTGCCATAACAAATGGCTACACACTTGGTGGCTTGAAACAACAGAAATTTGTTCTCTTACAATTCTGGAGGCCAAAAGTTGAAATCAAGGTGTCAGCAAGGCTGTGCTTTTTACAGAAGCTCTAGGAGAGAATCCGTTCCATGCCTCTTCTAGCTTCTGGTGGTTACCAGTTTCCTTGGCTGAAACCACATCATTCTAGTCTCTACCTCCATGGCTATGTCACCTTTGTGTGTCTCTTAGAAGGACACTTGTTATTGGATTTAGGGCCGGCCTAGATAATCCAGTAGGAACTCATTATCTCAAAATCCTTAATTTAATTATACCTGCAAAGAACCTTTTTCTAAATAAGGTAACTTTCACAGGTTCTGGGCATTAGGATATGGATCTTTGGGGGTAGATAATTATAGCACTAGAAGTTCTACCTTCCAGGAAGATTTCCCTTCCTCGCTGTCCCCAGGACTGTCCTGAGTGAGGCTGTCATGCCCCAGCAGGCCACTGCCATCTGGCCAGCACACCATCAGAACTCTCTCTGGAGTGGGAGAAGAGTCTCCACTGTCCCCCAGGACTCAAACAGCAGGGTATCACCCCCACATAGGAAGTAGGTTAAGATGCTGGTCAGCCAAAACTAAAAATAAACAATGTGACAGATGCCCACTAGAGATAGGAGTCCTCCCCACCCCTGCCTGCATCTTTTGAGTCACTGATAGTGACTCATTTCTACAGTTCTCCTGGGACATAAAACTGTTTTTGATTTATTATTTGGAGAGTAAGAGGGAGCCAAGGTCTTTCACTTAGTTCTTCCTAGTACATTAACCTTTAGCTCAAGGGTCAGGGGGCCCAGGTAAGGATTTGACCAGTTCCTGGGGAACATAGGACGGATATCAGGCCTTGCAGTTCTGTACTCTCACACCCCCTGAATCTTATTTTAATGGTCCTATGCTTTGTAGCAATGGGCCTTAAAAGATTCTTTGAGCTATCGCACATAAAGGTCTTGACTCTCTCTCTTTTTTTTAAGATTTTATTTTTAACTAATCTGTACACCCAAAGTGGGACTCAAACTCACAACCCTGAGAACAAGAGTTGCAGATTCCTCCAACTGAGCCAGCCAGGCACCCCTTATTTTATTTCTTGAATCAATAATCTAGATATTTAAGTTTACCTTGCTTGATATTATTCAATGCCATTATAAGCAGCACCCCACTCTGTGTTCATTAATTTCTTCATTTTATTTATTTATTTATTTATTTATTTATTTATTTATTTATTTATTTATTTATTTAT